TCAGAATCCAACTCTTTCTCCAAATCGAGTTCGTCCTAACAGCTATCTGCAACAGGTAAGATGTTAATTTTTCATCTTTCTAACTTCAAACAATTTAGTTTCTCACCATTCATCCTAATATGATGTTAAATAAAGTTTCAGCAAACATTTTGAACTGACAGAATAAATTCCTCTCGATATTTTAAAAAAATGCACACCAAGGAAAATTACAAAGTGTTGCACAACAACTTACTGATGTCATCTCCCACACAGAATTTTCATCACACTTGCCATGTTTCATCTGTAGCATGTAGTTACAATCAGTAATCAGGAGATCTTTTATCAACAGCGACTTAAAGATTTTCAAATATACTGTGTGTTTATTTCAAAGAGCCACAATAAACTGTCTATAATATAATATCTAATATGAAAAAAGAGACAAATGTTTTAAAAAAGGGACTTTAAACCCTTGTTTTCTATCACAAAAATATTTAGCAGCAGACTGASCAAGTGTGTGCCTATTACTGTGAGTGCAGTATTACTAACAGCGTTAATGACATTACTGGCAGACAGCCATTTCGTTTCTCTCCTCTTTTTCCCCAAGACAACAGACAGCCTCTCTGTGTGCAGCATCATTCAGATGGTGCCATCTGTAGAAACTCTGTTCGCATACAGACAATCACRCCACTGTTCAGTAACAAATACATACACAAACATTTTAATATTAAAAAACTTCAGGTTTTTAGCAGCTTTCCAGGCACAAAATGTACTTTTCTTGGCATTCTGCAGTGGTTAATGAACAATTTTAGTGATTTTTTTTGAGTAGATGGAATCTTATAAGCAAAAAAAGTGACACAACCATATAATTTTTATCATCATAACTGGTGAGCTTTTTGTTTTGAACGTTAAAGATAAAAAAATATTATTAGAAACATATTTATTATCTTGCACAACGTGCTTCTGCTGTTTGAAGTAAACTTCGGCTTTGACACAGCAAACATCCATCCAGCAAACACTGGAGAGATAAGTGTTTGAAGAGAGGGCGTGGCGTCTGTTGGACCCGAAAAACTATCAAACACTAAAGGGAGCTAACAGACTGGCAGGCAGTCGTCTCTGGCATCAGGTCAGTTTTCTGCTAATTTAATTGAGAATTTTGGCTTCATTTTGTTATCAGCTGATTGTATACTTAGAAAAAGGTCGATAAAAATGCAATTGGAAATGACCCAAAAAAAAGCAAAGACAAACTGACTTTGGGAAAACTTTCAGCCCAGAGACCGAGATTGACGTAGAACCATTAAAGGGGCTATATCATGTAAGATCAACCTTTTTGAGTTTTATATCATGTTATAATGTTATCCTCTCATCAAAAACATGCCCAAAGTCTTATTTTGACTCATTCATGCATGTTGGAGAAATCCTGTATTGTCCTGCGGAAGCCATGCTGAGGAGCAAAACGACAGGTGGGGACTAGAAACGCCTTTTTGGACCAGCTCTGCCTCTGGGATGTGTCTCCAAGCCGAGCTTCCTCTTCACGGAGCACACCTCTCCACCCCCCACACCCCGCCCATGACTCCTGCAGGCTCTCGGTAGTAACAAAGCAAACAACGGGTGAAACTGAAAGTGAAACTGAAACTGTCTGCTGAGCTCCTAACACTACTTCTCACTCAGTGAAGCTCTTTTCAGATTCAAAATACCTTTGAGGAAATGTATTYTCAGATGCCAAGTAAACTGCATCATAGCGCGTGAACCCCTCCCCCGCGCTGAAATGGGCGGGACAGAAGCGGAAGGTGTTTCTTAAAGAGACAGAGGCCAATTTCAAGACGTTTAGAAGAGGAAGTGATKAGAAGATAAGTTTATTTTCTATATAAACATAAAGAGAGCATTTTAATAACAACTAAAGGTGACATAGATACTTTATTATGGTACACTAATGCCTTAACGCCTTCTCATGCAGCAATTTTAAAGCGATTTGTTTTTATTTTCAGACATTGTTTAAGTGGATTTAAGCTATGAAACACTCTTTTTTCTTTCCAAGTTGAAACTACTTAAATGTTTTATCCACTTAAACAAAACAAAATACTCTGTTTTTAAGATTGTATTGGTTTTTGAAGAAGTATCTCCATAATAAACCATAAAATGTATGTTAACAGCAATGAAATTAAGGAATATACACATTTTGACATTCATGTTATATAATAACACATTTTTTTACCCTTTTAATACACTTTAATGTAACGCAAAGTGAAGAAATTGTGAATTTTTCTGCATTTTTGTGCAACCAAGCTGACACTTCAGGGACATTCCCCATCACGAAGGCCTTAAAGAGAGCTTGAAATCTTGTTTTCAGCACTTAACAGCAGTGAAACCTCACTTACTCAATAAGATCTAAGTAATACAATCAGAAACGCCTGACCTGCTACTTAACCGACCTTTTGGTACAACTGATTTCTATGTTGCCTCAATAATTTTTCGAGTAAATAATGACCTTTTAAACTTAGCTTCTAAAYTGTGGAAAACAAAAGTGTAACTCATCTGTGAAAACACTGCTTACTTATAAGAGATTTTAAACAACCAGGAACAAAAGATGTGGAATTAAAGAAGATAAATGTAAACAAATAGTCAGCTTTAATATCAGTGCTTAATGTCTGCAAGATAAAAGAGGAAATACAGGGGTTAAGACCAACTTAAGCAAATTAACTTGTTTGCTTCTTTCCGAGCTKCTCTAAGATCTGCACACTACACACAACTGGGTTGTGTACACAAATGATCAGAGCTCAGGGAAAGTCTGTGTTGGATGGAGAAAAGGGCAAAGATGCCTTGAAAACAGGGCAATTACTATTATGACATCATTCTGACTTTCTGCAAAAATATTAATTACGCACAGTTGAGAAGATGATATAAATGATTGTTTTTGGTACATAGTCACTGACGCACAGATCAGTGAGAAACTCTGAGATAGATATTGTAAACAAATGTTTAGTTTTGCACAAATATGCTTAAAAGTTCCTGTTAGATTTAAAACGTACTCGTTTACACTAATAAAAACTATTACTATGCTCAGAGTCAGAGTCTTCTTTCCTTTTTTATGTGTGTTACACTAAGTTACACTGTATGGAAGTTGAGAGAACTTTCAAATTTAGCAAATTTATAGAAACTGATGTTGACAATCTGTTTTCCTGAGTAAAAAAATAAAAAAGCTACTTTTCAAACAACTAACTTCTCAAAAATGTGATTTTCACGATACAATTTTAATAGCTTCTCTTTAAAACTTTGAATCAGCATCCAGATGACAACAAAGTGCTCTGAAAACTGAATCTGTTCACTGCAGGAGTTGCCTTTTTTTTTTTTTTTTTTTAAAGGAACCTGCGAGCTGAGTCAGTAAAACCCAGTTCTTTCACGTGATGCTGGAGACAGATCTGGACTAAAAGCGAACGCGTTGACCCACTCTGTTAGGTTCGTTGTCTTATGCAGAACATAAAKCAGTTCTAAATCTAAAGATTAACTAGTCTTAACGAGTTTGTTCACAGTCCTTGTAATTACTGCCTGAGCTGACAGGAAGCCAATTAAAACTGTAGATTTTATGGAAATAYAGTCAGAGGGACAAACCTTTGTGTGACTCATAAATGTATGTGTGATTACGCTCACAGTGGGGATGTTTGTCTTCATGTGACCACTCGTKTCTGACTTCATTTGGGTTTGTCAGTAAGTCGGTAAGAACCTGACGCTGATGCAGCAGCAGCTGACAATCAGCAAAGACCTCATTGGGAGGAAGTCGACTGCTTTCACTTCAGCTGAACCAGCTGCTACCCTAACAAAAAAAAACCTACAAAAAAAAAAAAAAAAAACAACACCCAAACTGCATCGCAAAGAAACCCTGCCAGACTTTCAAAAGGGAAGAAGTGCACGCAGCTCTGCCTTCGTCAGCAGAACCTGTCCGATGAATCCAAACCAAGACCTTGACACATCATAAAGTGAAGCACGTGAAGCATCGCTGTTCGATATTTGTGGTTCCAAGCAGAACAGAAACCACACAGACTCCAAATAATGCAAAAGCCAAGTGTTTGTTGAGTGTTCACATCATACTTTGGGACTTATGTTACTTTTGCAGATATATAAAAATAAATCATTTATGTCTTCTGAAGATGCTTTGTGTTGAAGGATCAGTGGATCTGTGTTCGACTACTCCACCTAGGAGCGTTGTTGAGCACAGATCCACTGAGAAACTTGCTGTTTCAGCAAATGTTTATTTAAAAATAGTACTTTTGAGGTTAAACAAATGTTCATAATTAATTTCAATAAATTACAAGTGAAGAAGGGGGGAAAAAAGATATATAAAAATACTCATGGTGGCAACAAATTAAACTAGAAACACAGCTTCTTCACAAAATTCCAACAAAACTTATATAAATACACAAAAATCCAAGTTGAGAAAATAACCCCACATTTTATWTAATCTGAAGAAGATATGTAAAGAGACCAAAACAAAATGGTCCAGCAGCTGCTACTGGCCCTTTAAGGTCACTACGGTAACCACATCCATGTCCTTCACTCTCTGCTGCCAACTTATTTAGTGACAGACATAAAAACAGACTAAAAGTAAGCCTCAAACTTTGTCAGATTTTTTTATATTGTTGAACCGTAAGCGGCTGATGACTTTTCTTGTCACAAATGTTAATTTTTACGTTTCTACAGAGCTTAATGTCGGAGATATTATGAGTTAAAAACACTATTTACTTCCAGAGAATATCTTRTGGTAAACGCCAGTAAAATGTGCACTCTCTGCCATCTGAGTGAATTCAGAAAAAACTATAAATCCTTGCAATTTTGTGCAAACTTTATTCAAGTTGTGCATGCTGTTACGAAATTTTACAACACGCACATTTCTGTGATTTAATCGTTATTGCACAGTTGCAGGATGAGATCTAAACGAGATCATGCTTACACATTTACACACCTAAACAAATCRTTTAGTTAACCTTCCTTTTGTTTAGGTGTGTTAATAACATCCAGGTGAGACTCACCAATTGACTCCGAAAGCTTCATAAATGTCTCTGAGACGTGCTTCTTTGGTCCAGGCTGCAAACGTAAAGCCCTGCAGTCGTACCTGAGTGAAAAAAAAACAAACACACAACAAACAGTTAACACCTCACACGTCATGTACACRCAAACACTGTACCAGTAGATCAATACAACAGCCCACACACACTGCACTTTAACTTGTACAAAAAGGAATAAACAAACCAGTCAGCAGTTTTCAACAGACTGGAGCWCATCCCTCCTCTGCCTCAGCAACACTTAGATGTGGGTATTTAAACAAATTTAATTCATTATAAATTCTTGTAAAATCCTGATAAATGTGTCAAGAATCATCCATGAGGTTGTTGAACTGTATCTGCATGACAACTATTGTAATCTGCCAGAAAAATTGGCATAATTTCTACATATCTTTACAAATTGGACTGAAACNAAAATGTTCTTTGATGAATGTGAATTTTTTTAGATAAATATATTTTAAATGACAGCTTAGTAAATTTACAAGAAATACAAATTCAAATGAATGCATTTCTTCTTCCTGGTTAAACCCAGAAGTAGCAGGAGTGCAATAACGAATGTGCAAACTCTAAACCACAGTTCTCTTTGACTCAAAAACATCCCTCCTCATAATTAATCCTGTTCGTTCTGCGGCTTCTCTCCTCTTTTTGTTGTCAAACACAGGCCGCACAGACAGAAACTACAGTAAAAACCATCCCCTCCTCTTCCTCCTCTTCCTCCTCTCTGCAGCAGCAACCTGAGATGCTGTGCGTGAGCGCGCGCCTGAGTGTRCGCGCATTAACGCCTGGCTGTCGGGAGTCAAATGTTTCAATTTTTGTCCACCCCTGGCTGTCTGTCTTCTAACCGGCCACCAGGCTCACCTCGCCGGGTCGTGTCAGCCTCTGGCTCCGTGTCTGTGTCCGCTGTGGGCTCGGACCGCCGCTCCGCTCGGCTGCAGCTTTGTTTTTGTCGCTTGAGGCTCTCTGCTGAAGCCAGGGCTTTAAATACGCCTTTAACGAATATCTGTCGGAAGAGGCGACGTAACGGCCGGCTTCCGTCGACGTCACGTCTTATTTACATAAATAGGCGGAACCTCGAGGTGACTTATTTTAAAGGGACATGACAAATAAATAAATAAATAAATAAATAAATAAATAAATAAATAAATAAATAAATAAATAAACTTGTCTCAGGAAAGAAGTTTGAAAAAAAAACATATTGTTTCAACAACGTTTCCTGATAATAAATAATATAAAGTTACAAAATCTGTTTACGTATCCGTAAGGTGTGTCATATTTGTTAGAAAAATGTATTTGTGGGTTTTGCTTAAATAAAAAAACTGCACAATTCTTAAGCCAAACATCTCATTCTCCTATTTGACTCTTACATTTGGCATCATTTATGGAGTTGTATGATTACAATCCGAAGTAAAGTATATTGGTAATTCAGTAATTTATTAATTTAACAAATGTCAGGCCTCTGTGGCATGTGGAAGAACCATACACAGCCACGACAGCCTGACACCTCCTCCTTTTGCTGCTTACCAGATTAGTCACACACTGATTGGGCGTCCCCCTTTTTTCAACCTGTATTTGTTGCAAGTTAGAGAATGTTTTATTAATTAAATTTTTTTTGGGGGGGGGGGGGGGGATTCTCTTTATAAAAATTGTTAAAGACATATCGATTAATATGAAATTTTGCTTGTCTTTTTTTAAATCAGTCTTTATGATTGTCTTCACACAATGAAAAATTTTGCAAAGAACCAACCTCAAATCAAATCTTTAGGCGATTTGTTACCAGTATCTGATGCCCAAAACACACTTTATTCTCTTTTCTTGGGTTAAATCTGTGAAATAATACAACACAGAACAGTTCAATACATATAATAGCTTCTGCATACTAGGGCTGCCACGATTAATCGACGACTAATCGGTTATTAAAATAATCGATGACTAATTTAATAATCGATTAATCGGGGTTTTTTGTTCTTTACTTTGTTTTTCTCTCCAAACTGCTTTGACACCTTCCATCCACTGCCACATCTGCCTTTCTGTCCTTGAC